TGAAGTCAATTTCGTTGTATGGGTAAACTGTGTATACACGTGCAATGACAATAAAGTTGTTGTTGTTGTAAAGTTGTTGTTGTTGTTGTTGTTATTATATGCATAAGCTTAGGCCTACATATCTATGTCCTAATAAATGTTGTATTCCATAACCAACTCAGACAAGGTAAGTTAATAGAAATGTTTTTGTACTTTACCTTTGGGTAAGAAAACTGGGAGTAGACAAAAAGGTGTGCTGGAATACACAACTCTCAACAAGTTGTGTATTCTAGCACACATAATAATAGTTGAGAACCAGCATCCAGAAAAAACAGTGCATATAGCATTATTATCTCTGGTTATTTTACTATGGCTTACCTCTGAGATTCAAGTCCAGGACTACCTAAACCAAGTTGGGTAAACTAAGAGCAGCACATGATGGGATAATGGTAATAAGGAAGAGGCACAGCATCAGCAACTGACATGGTGTCCCAGGAATATTGCTTTCTCACAACCTGAGCCAACAAATTCTTTCCCAGTTTCAGAATTTGGAGATTCAGTATCAAATATAAAACAACTGTTACATATGGCTGCTATCATGATAGCATTGTAATGCACTCATGAATATCATTATAAAACAGAATATCTTAAAACTGAAATTATGATCAAGTACATGGCGCATCCATGTTATTACTTCAAATATCTCATAGTGTGTAAAGTAACATAGAAGCTACAAAGCCACAAAATGTCTGATTTTTTTTTGTCAGTGATCCTTATCCAACAATTACAAATGAACACAGAAGCACACTGAATGCTTGGTATATTTAATTTAAATTCACAAAATTTTCTTCTGGTACTGAAATCTTGAGGCAATAATAAAAGTAAAACATCTATGCCAAAAGAAATCAAAGATAAAACTAATAGTAATAGTTGCCTTGGTACAATCCCAAAACATCTGGAGCATAACTTGAATACCATCAGCATTGACAAAATCACCATCAGTCAATTGCAAAAGGCAGCTTACATCCTGTAATATCATGAAATAACTTCTGCTATCCCAAGTCCTTGAGAAGGACTCAGTAGGTGGATAGAAATGTCAAGCCCAATCTAAATATCTGACTATGAGACCAACCATAGTAGAATGTTTAGAATGCAATCTTACTATAGTCTATTAAAATTGTAATGAAATAATTGTTTACTGTACGGTAATATTTACAGTAATTACCATACTATTTGCAAGTAATTTTACATATGAGTAACATATTTTATAACATTATCAGTCAAACTACATTTTCAAATGGAACTGCTTTCTTTCTGCTTCTCTTGTCTTTCAAATGTAGCTATTCAATTCAATTAATTATTCATTCATTAGTTGACAGTAAGAAGTGGGATGGGAAAACCAACAGTAACTAATATCTAGCTTCAATTTCCACCCCAATCATTGCAAACTAATCTCCTGATATGTTAATATAAACTCAAGAGTGAATGCTACTCCGCCACTAGTAGCAAACTGTTCTTCCCCAAGAGAGCCCTGTAAAACAGGACAGTCACTGACAGCAGTACAATTACTGACACAGATACAGACTTTATGGACATGTTTATCTCTGCTGTAAATCCACACTCTCTCTCCACTCTGATTCACAAGTCATAAAGAAATTGCAGATAATGAAAAAGTTGGTGAAATTTACAGCATGTCGGAAACCTCAGACAGCCAAAAGAAATTAAAGAGCTGACTGGATATAAATCACACAGGTACAATTAAAAGTTCCCATACCACCTTCACTTCTAAAAGTGGCATACAATCCAACACATATGATAAAAAGCTGAGGTCACGATCCCCAGGCTGAAGGTAGTTAAGAACATTATATACCGAAATTAGCCAATTTAAGTGCCTTGCGCACATCCAAATTTCCAGCTGGCATTTGAATACTTCAGCTTTGAGGCAAAAATCCTTACCAAAAATATCTCAAGTTTTCATAAGTGAAATAAACTGCAAACAGAAAGGTAACCATTTAGTTTCCTCTGTAGCATCATGCTCCCCCCCCCCTTTTCTTGCTGCTTTCTATGATCTCTCTAAATTTGCTTTAGAGGTCTGTGAGAATCTTTGAAGCAAATATGGACAGTCTGGAGACCAAGGGGAAAAACTCTTGCTATTACAGTCAAATCTTTCACTAGTGTTAGAATCAGGTCCTTGGTTACTTTGCCTTTGCTAAAGAGGAAGTACGTAAAATAAAAAGATTTCAAGACTGCTCAGACAATTAGGTTTGGGTTTCATTGCTACCTCCAGAAAAATATAATGTAGATAAAGTACCGGAATGAAAATCTGAAAACTTTTCTAACGTATGCATGTAATCAGAAATACTGGAAAATGTTAGTAGTCTATATAGCTGGAAAGAGTTCATTACAGATCTATAGGACTGTTACTTTGGAGAAACACCCTCCATCCAGCTATATTACATGATTATAATTACTTTATTAACATGCTAACTATTGGAAGATCTGAAAGAGCAGGTTAGGGACAGTCAGGGATGGCATATAATCAATCAAAGATTAACATGTTCAGTCAGTTGTGATGCTACAGAAACATCAAAAATATACATAATACATACTTTCTTATGCAAGGAAGTATTTCTAAGGCAAAAAGCTTTTACTCAAACAAGTACTTGTGTCTTAAAGCATTAAATTTATAATTTGGTGAGCTTGCAGATCCATCTTTGTCACTGGATCTTCAGAAATCTTCTATAAAAGAATATACTTTACCAGCTTAGATAGGATGCCAACTATAGTCTTACCTAGAAACCATAGGCTACTTGGTTTCAATGATGCATGAATAATAGAAATTGTTTGTTTAGATAATTACAATTACCTTTGTAGTGACAAAATATGACTGCTACATTAATTACTATATTGCTAATATTTTATTATCTTCACTGGCTCTGAGTTCATTTCTGAATGTACAGATAGCTAGAAACAGCTTTTGAAAGCAGCACTAAGCCTTTTAGAAGACATGACTACTTTAACAATTCAAGGAAGAATATGTTGCTCATTACAATGTACTTTGTCAAGTATGCCTTCTGAAAGCCTTGCACAATTGTATCAGACTCTATGTAAATATCCCTCTTCATGAACATAGTGGAAGGTTTACAATTGTGATGCCTCTGAGATGCTCTCTCAGGATTCTTAGGAACAGAAGACCACTCTCTTGGATTACCAACATCAATAATAAGCAGAATTATTTTGTGGCAGCAAAGAAAATGTAGTAACAGCTTTATTAGAGGAAATATTAATAAAAGGTATTACAAATGTATAGCTGGAACTAACTAAAGAACCAGTTAGGCTTCAAAGGACTAACTCAGAATTCTAAATTTTAACAAATTACAAAAAATGCTCCTAAATTTGCATAACTTCCAATAAAGGATAACAATTCTCAGTAAAAGTTCCCTACGAGAACAGAGGACCATTGATAGAAAAGTAACAAATATACACAATTTAACTTATTACATTTGATCAATTCATCGTATCTTAAAATTGTTAAGAAGTTCAATGGGAGCTTCCAACAGCTACACATGTATTTCCCAATGTCACGGTTCTAATCAGCCATCTGCTGCCACCCAGAGGCTACGTAAAGTCTATTTAGCTATCTCTTGGATCTTTTGAACAGTTATTTCACAGTCTTACAATCAGTAAGGTAGTATTTAATCTTGAATAACAAGAATCATTGTAAAGCAGGGATGAAATGCTCCCAGTTCGGACCAGATCGCTTGATCCGGTAGCGATGGAGGCGGGTAGTTCGGAGAACCGGTAGCAAAAATCCCTACCCCCCCCCCTGCCCAGCTGAGCCGCACAATCATCAGAGGCTTTTTTTTTTTACTTTTAAAAGCATTTTTTCTACAACCTCTTTGGCCGAAAAAATGCTTTTAAAAGTAAAACAAAAAGCCTCTGATGATCGCGCGGCTCAGCTGGGATCATCAAAGGCTTTTAAAAGAAAAAAACCCCTTTTTTCTTTTAAATGCCTCTGACGATCCAAGCTGAGTTGCCTGATCGGCAGATACTTTTTTTCTTTTAAATGCTTTTTTTCTTTTAAACTATCAGGCAACTCAGCTTGGATCGTCAGAGGCATTTAAAAGAAAAAAAGTTTCTGCCGATCAGGCAACTCAGCTGGGATCGTCAGAGCCTTTTGAAAGCATTTTTTAAACAATCTCTTCGCTGAAGAGGTTGTAGAAAAAATGGTTTTAAAAGTTAAAAAATTGGCCACGCCCACCCATTCACATTACCCCCCCACCAAACCACGCCCACAGAACCGGTAGTAACAAATTTTGGATTTCACCACTGTTGTGAAGGGCTGTAAGCTACACTTCTGCCATATTTCAGTTTGAGCAGTTCCATTAGCAGACAAACATTGCTAGCATGTTTTCCACTAAAATGCATTAAACACTTAGCAGCTACTGCATTAATTTTTGATAGCAATAATAAAAATCCTGACTTTAATGTGAATGCATTCGGAATGGAATCTATAAAGGCTGCTGCACAATTCATAAAATGGTGCTAGTATGGGCCCTGAAATGTCAATGTTATTTAATCCAGGACTGGTATCTATGCTGTCAACAAAATGGTGCTTGTTCTAGTCTTTTCAGGAATGAATAGTACTGAATTGCTAGAAATGAAGATCACATTGGCATATAGCAGTCTATTTTATTTAATGCCTTTTGGAATTTGGTGGATTACAAACTGTAGGAATTCCAAACTACCATAGGGTACCAAGGGGTTAGAGGAACAAGTATTTACTTATTTATATAATAAATTTTATACAATCATTTGAAATAGCCATTCCCATTTTTGGGAAGAGAATAGGAAAGATTTTATAAACTAATAGTACAAAACAGAATATATTGCTGTCATCATCAATTTTTGATACCTAATCCCTATAGTTAATTAGTATGAACAGATTGAACATACATAAGTATATGACGTTTTCCTGCAATAACCCTACTGTATTTTTTAAGTATCTGTGCAATACTTACATTCATCCAGTCCCAACTGATATGCCAAATTCTGTAAACCTCTAACCTTCTCCATCAGATTAGCTGTAGTGAGACTTCCCAGCTCTAAAGAAACGAGTATGTAGTTTACAAACATTTGTCATTAAATAATTAATAATGAATGAATCATGTTTTTATTAAGAGTCGAACCCCTAATACAGGTAGTCCTTGACTTACAACCATTTGTTTAGTAACCGTTTGAAATTACAATGGCACTGAAAAAAATGACTTTTTTCACACTTATAAACATTGCAGCATCCCCTATGATCACATGATAAAAATTCAGATGCTTGGCAACTGATTTAGTTGCAGTGTTCCGTGGTCATGTGATCACCTTTTGTGACCTTCTGACAAGCGAAGTCAATGTGGAAGCCAGATTCACTTAACAACTGAAAAAGAAAGGAGTAAAATAGGGAAAAACTCACTTAAGAACTGTCTCACTTGGCAACAGAAATTTTGGGCTCAGTTGTGGTCATAAGTCGGGGACTACCTATAATAATAACCAAGCAGAAAGTAAAGGCAATTTGATATAATAATTGTACAAATTCTGCATGTAATGAAATTCACTATTTTTAGAGGACACACTGTATCTGGTTTTACACAGAAAGAGACTACATTTGTAAGAGCCGTGGTGGCACCATGGTTAGAATGCAGTATTGCAGGCTAACTCTGCCGACTGCCAGCAGTTCGATTGTGATTGACTCAAGGTTGAGTCAGCCTTCCATCCTTGATAAAATGAGGAACCAAATTGTTGGGGGCAATATGCTATTTTGTAAACAGCTTAGAGAGGCTGTAAAGCACTGTGAAGCAGTATATAAGTATAAGTGCTATTGTTATTGGTATTCCATGTAACAGCTGAGTACCTCTCTGATAGTAAGGAAAAGATATATTGTAATTATCATCTGGACAACCTGGAAGATATAATGTAAACAGATGAAGTTAGTTTTTTCCACATATTGTTGTTACGTGTACAATAAAGCAAGACACGACTGGTTGTTTTGACTACATCTAATCTCCATGGACATTTTTTCACTTTGTTCTATTACGTTTGATATTGACTCTAGATTTGAAGTTTCCTGATAGGAAAATTTATTAAACTGTCCTCCAACAAGCCAGATAGCATTCCATTAGAATGGCTATGATAGAAAACTGCTACAATTAGGCAATTCCAAGATAGTAAAATATGGAATATATTTGTGAATAAGCAGAGAATTGTAGGTATCACAAATGCCCCCAAATTGGATTCGGTTTATCCATAGATAGGCTTATCTGCAAGTATATATGGTAAAGTACTTGTTAAAGTACTCATACCCTGTATATATTCATATATAAACTCATGCAAAGGTAAGCCTATCCTTGAATTTTTAACTAATATATCATAGAAAATGGACTCCCTGCAGATTGGCTTATCTGCAGGTGGCACATTTTTCATGGAATTTTGGTTAAAAATTCAAGGGTTGGCTTATCTATGAGTATATATGGTAGTCATTCAACTCCATATTAATAGTTAATCACTAAGACCAGCGGATATTAATTCATATGGTTCTGTAATTCTATGTGTCTTGTAACTTGGTCTTTAAGAATCACTCTAGCTCAGGTATGTCAAACTCAATTTCATTGAGGGCCGCATCAGGGTTGTGCTTGATCTTGGGGGGCCAGGGTGGGCATGGCCAGGGTGGGTGTGGCAGCTCGACATCACTTGTGTTGGGGGCGTCTGTGGTGGCCCGAGCGCTCTGTCAGCGAAAACTGGCTCCCAAGCTCCGTTTTGGCTGTGATGGCCTTCTGCAACCATTTTGCCAGCAAAAACTGAGCTCAAGGGGGCCACACGCAGCCCTCCCAAGCTCTGTTTTTGCTGGCAGAGGCACTCCAAGCTGGTTGTTCGCTGTTTCCAGGGCGGCCCTGCGGGCCAGATCTAAGCACCTTGTGAGCCAGATCGGGCCTCCGGGCCTTGAGTTTGACCCCCCAGATCTAAAGAATATATTGAGGGAAGATACCACAACTGAATGGTCTATTTAAACAGTGTATAGTTGTTTTTAGCATGGAGTATACAGGTAGTCCTCAACTATCTGAATTTCTCCTTAGGACTTAGCTTTCAGACTTTGGTCTAATAGTTAAGGCATTAGGTTAGAAATCAGGAGGTTGTAGAGTTTTAGCCCCGCCTTAGGCATGGAAGCTGGCTGGGTGACTTTGGGCCAATCACCAGGAGACCAGGAGTTCTAGTTCCACTTTAGCCATGAAAGCCAGTTAGGTGATTTTGGGCCAGTCTTTCACAGCCCTACCCACCTCACAGGATTGTTGTTGTATGAAAAATAGGAGGAGGAAGGAATGGATGGATAAGAAGATGGAATTTGTATTTTTCCCCAACACCCATTTTCTTCTCCCTTTCATTTTTTTCTTTTTCTTTGGCTTTTTTTTTCTTTTTCTTTTCTTGATAGGAACTGTTTTGAAAGAACTATTTTGATCAGAAAATGATTTAGAGAAGTGGTTCTCAACCTTAGCAACTTTAAGATGGATGAACTTCAACTCTCAGAATTCTTCACTAAGGTTGAGAAACACTGAATCAGAGGATATGTAAATTACAGGTAGTCCTCAAGTTACAACAGTTCATTTAGTGACCATTCAAAGTTACAATGGCATCAAAAAAAGTGACTTATGACCATTTTTCACACTTATGACCACTGCAGCATCCTCATAGTCATGTGATCAAAATTCAGACACTTGGCAACTGCTTCATATTTATGACGGTTGCAGTGTCCCAGGGGTCATGTGATCCCCTTTTGTTACTTTCTGGCAAGTGAAGCCAATGGGGAAGCCAGATTCACTTAACAACCAGGTCATTAACATAACAACTGCAATGATTCACTTAACAATTGTGGCAAGAAATGTCATAAAATGGAGCAGAATTCACTTAACAAATGTCTCACTTCACAACAGAAATCTGGGGCTCAAATGTGGTCATAAATTGAGGATTACCTGTACATGGACCAATGCAAAGATTTAACTTTTTCAAGGACACTTTACATGCAAGTCCCAAAAAATCAAGAGGCATATAAAAAAAGAGGTGGACCTTTAATCATGTGATTGTGGCTGCCATTGTGACTTTTTCAACCTGCACATCCCTCAGATGTCCCAAGAGGCTAAAATTCAGCAATCACACCCAGAGAACACACACAAAATGTACATAACTCTTGTTTTGTTCTATGTCAGGGGTGTCAAACTTGATTTCATTGAGGGCCACATCAGGGTTGTGTTTGAGCTTGGGGGGGGAACTGGGGAGGCACAGCTAGGGGGCATGGCCAGCTCAACATCACTCGCATCAGGGGCACCTGTGGTGGCCTGAGCGCTCTGCCAGCAAAAATGGGCTCAAGAGCTGAGTTTTCAGCTGCAACGGCTTCCTGCAACCCTCTGCCAGCGAAAACAGAGCTCAGGAGGGCTGCACGCTGGTAGAGGCACCACGGGCCACTCCTTTGTTAATTAATTAATTTATTAATTTAATTTAATTTGTATACCGCCCTTCTCCCAGAAGGGACTCAGGGCGGTGAACAGCCAAAATTAAAAAACATACAAATGCAAAAGTTAAGATAATTAAAAGAATTAAATCATTGGCTACCCAAATTTAAAACCCCAAATCCATAAAATTTAAAATCCCAATTAAAAACCATTTAGGCTAGGCCGGCTTGATGAAATAAAAACGTCTTCAGGGCTTTACGGAAGGTCCGGAGGTCTGGGATCAATCGTATTCCAGGAGGCAGCTCATTCCACAGGGCGGGTGCCCCCACAGAGAAGGCTCGCCCCCTGGGGGCCGCCGGCCGACATTGCCTGACCGACGGCACCCCGAGGAGGCCCTCTCTGTGAGAGCGTATTGGCCGGTGGGAGGTTATCGGTAGCAGCAGGCGGTCTCGCAAATACCCTGGCCCTAAGCCATGGAGTGCTTTAAAGATGAGAACCAACACCTTAAAGCGCACCTGGAAGACCACCGGGAGCCAATGCAGCTCGCGCAGGAGAGGTGTTACGTGGGAGCGCCACGTCGCTCCCATAATCACCCGCACGGCCGCATTCTGCACCAGCTGGAGCCTCCGGGTGCTCCTCAGGGGGAGCCCCATGTAGAGAGCGTTACAGTAGTCCAGGCGTGACGTAACCAAGGCATGAGTGACTGTGCACAAGGAGTCCCGATCCAGAAAGGGGCGCAACTGGCGTATCAGGCGAACCTGATAAAAAGCCCCCCTGGCCACGGCCGTCATATGCTCTTCTAAAGACAGCCGTGTGTCCAGGAGGACGCCCAAGTTGCGAGCCCCCTCTGTGGGGGTCAGTGACTCGCCCCCAATAGCCAGCGATGGCACCAGCTGGCTATACCGGGACGCCGGCATCCACAGCCACTCGGTCTTGGAAGGGTTGAGCCGAAGCCTGTTCCTCCCCATCCAGACCCGCACGGCCTCCAGACACTGGGACATCACTTCGAGGGCATCATTGGGGTGGTCTGGGGTGGAAATGTACAGCTGAGTGTCATCAGCGTACAGATGGCATCGCACCCCAAAACCACGGATGATCTCACCCAGCGGCTTCACATAAATGTTGAACAGGAGCGGCGAGAGGACCGACCCTTGCGGCACCCCGCAAGCAAGGCGCCTCAAGGTCGACCTCTGCCCCCCTGCCAACACAGACTGCGACCGGTCAGAGAGATAGGAGGAGAACCACCACAACACGGTGCCTCCCACCCCCAGTCCCTCCAGCCGGCGCAGCATGATACCATGGTCGATGGTATCAAAAGCCGCTGAGAGGTCTAACAGGACCAGAACAGAGGAACAACCCCTGTCCCGAGCCCTCCAGAGATCATCCACCTATGCGACCAATGCCGTCTCTGTGCTGTACCCAGGCCTGAAGCTGGACTGGCACGGATCTAGATAGACGGTTTCATCCAGGAACTGTGGGAGCTGTCGCGCAACCACACTCTCCACAACCTTCGCAACAAAGCGAAGGTTGGAGACCGGATGATAGTTTGCCAAAACGGCCGGGTCCAGAGAAGGCTTCTTGAGGAGGGGCCTCACCACCGCCTCTTTCAAGGCGGGAGGCAAGAAACCCTCTCTCAGAGAAGCATTTATGATCCTCTGGAGCCAGCCTCGTGTTACCTCCCAGGTGGCCAGTACCAGCCAGGAGGGGCACGGGTCCAATAAACATGTGGTTGTGTTTAATCTCCCCAGAATCCTGTCCACGTCCTCAGGAGTCACAGGGTCGAACTCATCCCAGGTAACATTCTCAAGACCAGCCTCAGTCACCCCGCCGGGATCTACCCAGTCAGAGTCCAAGCCTTCCCGAATCTGAGCGATTTTATCGTGCAGATACTGTGCAAAATCCTCAGCCTGCCCTTGCAAGGGGTCCTCCCGTGCTCCCTGATGTAGGAGGGAGCGGGTCACCCTAAACAAGGCGGCTGGGCGGTTATCTGCCGATGCAATAAGAGCGGAAAAGTGGTTACGCTTTGCCGCTTTTATCGCCACTAGATAGGTCTTAATATGAGACCTAACTAGTGTTCGGTCGGATTCGGAGCGACTCGCCCTCCAACCACTCTCTAGGCGTCTTTTCCGGCACTTCATCTCCCTCAGCTCCTCGGAAAACCAAGGGGCCGGGCAGGTTCGGCGTCGGGTCAGAGGCCGCAAAGGCACGACTCGGTCCAGAGCACCGGCGGCTGTCCTATCCCAGGCAGCCACCAGATCTTCAGCCGAGTCGTGTGCCAGAGTTTCAGGAACTGGCCCAAGCTCCCTCTGGAACCTATCAGGATCCATCAGGCGCCTGGGGCGGAACCACCTGGTCGGTTCCGCCTCCCTGCAGTGGGGTGCAGCGGTCGAAAGGTCCAGTCTCAGGAGAGAATGGTCCGACCATGACAGGGGTTCAATAACTATATCCCCTATATCCAGACCACTCCGCCACTGACCAGAGATAAAAACCAAGTCCAGAGTGTGTCCTCCCGCGTGAGTGGGGCCATGAATTAATTGTGTCAGGTCCATGGCTGTCATGGAAGCCATAAACTCCCGAGCCATCCCAGACGCCCCACCGGTAGATGGCAGGTTGAAATCCCCCATGACCAAAAGTCTGGGGGTATCAACCGCCACCCCGGCAATAACGTTGAGAAGCTTGGGCAGGGCCGCTGTCACGTGGCAGGGAGCCAGGTACGCGATCAGCAGGCCCACCTGCATCCCATGGCCCCACTTCACCAGGAGAGACTCACATCCGGCTATCTGAGGTACAGTGGCCTCCCTCGGATCAAGACCTTCCTTTATAACGACCGCCACCCCCCCACCCCTGCCCTGGGCCCTTGGCTGATGGAATGCGCGGAAACCTGGTGGGCACATCTCTATGAGGGGGACCCCCCCCTCTTGGCCCAACCAGGTCTCTGTAATACCTGCCAGGTCCGCACCCCCCTCCTGTATTAGCTCACAAATGAGGGGGGCCTTATTAACCACGGACCTGGCGTTGCACAACATCAGTCTAAGGCCTGGGCTCTGAGACTCTGGACAGCCGGGGAAACAAGAAGAGTCATGGGGGCCGAGGCATGCCACCGCTTGGAGATAGCGGGTGCGTGCCCCCACCACCTGATGTGGCCCCCTACTCCCGCCATATCTGCCCCTCCCAACCACGGTCCTGATAGAACTGCCCTCCACCCTATCCACACTGAGCTCCTCCACACCCCGCTCCCCGCCTTCCGTTCCATGCCCCTGTAACGGGCCTGACCTATGCCCCTCCCTCCCCACCCCCCGCCCTAAGCCCCTTAAAAGATTACAAAAAGACAACCCCACAACCCCCTCTTTGCGGCATGCCACCTCTCGGGGTTCCAAAGCCCGTCATCGAGGTAGGCCCTCGATAGAGTGGAGGGCCAAGCCTGCGAGAGGGGGGAGTCTCGCAGACCAAGAAGCTCCGCTGCGGAATACATCTTGACCACAGAGGATGGGAGCAACCATATCCTAGGGGTCCATATAGAAGGTCCAGGGGAGAGACATGGAATGGGAGTCTCAAAAACATTTTCAACAGGACCGGTCCACTGTCCCCTCACAACAGAGGACGAAGTCAAGTTCCAGGTCGACCACAGTCCAAGGGGGGGAGGGGGAAGACCCAACCACCCTCTCACGGAGGTCCGATCAACCATTCGACCCCCTCTTGTGGTGAGATGGCAGCGATGAACCAATGCAGACAGCACAGCATCCAGGTCGGCACCGCAGGCCAGATCTAACCACCCCACGGGCCACATCTGGCTTGCAGGCCTTGAGTTTGTCACCCCTGCTCTAGCTTGTCCATATTTCATGGATTACTGCAGAAAGACATCAATTTGTCCAGTAATACTGATGCTTCTCTGGGGCTGTTAAGGAGACCAAATTCAACAAACAAGAGTTCAGCTTTAGCCAAAATTTATAAATTGTCAGCCAAGCTAGATTTTCCCTGTCCTATGAATCTCAGACGGCGTTTGGTGCTCATCTGAGAATTGGGAATATAGTTATCAAATATGTACTGTTAGAACATGGCCCAAGTTTCACATAGTTAATCTGGCAATAATTCAGGAACAAATAATTTGATGGCAGAAATAATAATGTTTCCCTTATCAAGCAGAAAAATTTCAGAATTGCAACACTGTATCTCTGCACAGTTCACACATGTTGCATTTAAGCTTTCCTGAAGCGAAATTCTTGCCCTCCAATCTCAATCCCTTTTAACCACTTAATATATTAAATTTACTTCTTGCCTAGAAAGACGGTGTCCAAATCTGTAAATTACTTATCTTGAAGAGTGATTAGCAGGCTGAAGAATAGAGAGGAAAAGAAAGTCCCAGGGATTTTATTTAAAAAAAAAAGAGGAGAATGAAAGAAGCAAAGAAAATCCTTCTGGTGGTTGTTTGTGTGGAGAGGAAAATACTCTCAGGACTCAGAACAAGCAAAGAAATTAAAAACATTTACCTCCAAAGTATATACTTTAAAAGTATCATAATTACTGGCCCTAATAATTATGTTGATTTCTTCACTATAGACTCAAAATGAAAGATATGAAACCTCAACAGATCTTTATATGACAATAAAATTAATATAAACCATATCTGTAATACAAAAATGATTTTTATCAAGCACTGACTAGAAACTCACCTCTCAACATGTCAATATCATCATTTTCTAATTCAGCCATCCATTTAGGTGGAGAACTGCTGATGGGCTATTAAGAACAAGCATTTATAAACAAATTATTATCTATTTTAGAAACCTTTAAAAATTTATAACAACTGATTGAAATGCAGAACTATAACATTTTACAAAATTCTACTTTGATTAAATAAAAGATTTCTAAAACAGATTACACTATCCAATGGAACAATTCTTTTCAAGGCAACAAAATAAACACTTTTTTAAAAAAAAGCCAATATCAACTTGCTAGGCTAGGGTAAAATCTTGCTTGTTACTGCATGAAGGAAAAATATACTAAGAAAACATAGCAAGAAAACAAAAAATAAGTAGTTCCAATGATTTTTCTAGCATTTATAATTTTTCAATTATTTTCTATTTTAGCTGTTTTTTATTATGATAAGCTCCATTTTCTATAGAAATTTAGGACTGTAATGCCTATTTATGTCAAGCATCAATTCTTACACTTACACTTGTACTTATCAGTACTTACACTTTTAAAAGAAGCTGCAAATTCAGCAACACCTGGTACTGGAGACAAGATAGACATAGTTAATGCATTGTAGTTGGGGTTTTTTTTTACAATTGTTTATACAACCTTAAAGGCAATTACCATTTCTGTCACTTAATTAAACTGCTACATTATAATTCAGCACATATATAAATTTTATCTTAGTTTATGCTCGGTTCTGAGTATGATGTAAGCTATTAAGCTATGTGTCTATAACATTGGTGTACAATGCTTAGTGACTATTATGCTATTGTTTTTTGATTATCACCAAGCCATTTTTTCATCCATACTACTTTTTTAAAAAATAAAAAACTGTAGCACTTAGTTAACCAACATGTTTATTCACAATGTTCAGCATTATTTATTTCTGAGTAAATGTGCACACACTCAACAGAATTTATTTCTGAAATAAATTATGCAAGATTATCTTCTTGAACTCTTTTAAATCTCTGCCTATGAATAAACATGCTCACATTTAAGCATGTTAAAAGCAATATTTTAATAGGACAGCTCATGTTAGAATCATCTGTGTAAACAAACACCATTTAAATGCCATATCTGCTTATCACAGTAAAAACGCATACATATGTACTAGCAATTTACTTCCAACCAAGATCTGCTTTTTTACTCCAATCTCTAATATTAACTCAAAATGGTTAAAGGACTCACTTGACCATTTTTAAAATTATTCTGATGATGTTTTTAATATAAGTAATTATTATTCACATTCAAATAATTATTCAGATTATTCATCTCATTCAGATTGAAATATGTTGAACATCTAATCTTTTCTTTTTTTGCTCAAATATATGAAAAAAATAATTCTCTTTCATTGCACTAAATGAAGAGTTGCATTTATGTTTATGCTACTCTTACCATTTGCTTAATAAGATGGCAATGAGATCCTACTGACTTACTTTTTCCAGTAGAAATAAGGAGTGAAGAAAACCTCAGTATAAAAGACAATAATACCTTATATAGGCCATGATTCTCTTTTGTGCAATAAAACATTTGGAAACATGGGAGAAAACACAAAGATCCTTTTCCAATTGTATAATATATGTTTTACATCTGAACTACTAAATAAATAGGAAATAACATATTTCATTAAGACAACTTTATTATGTTTAAATTTAAATTAAATAAGACAAAATGCAATCACAAATAAAGGTGAATATACGAGTCCCAGGATAATGTTGCAGGATACAATCTGGGTTTTATCTTCCGATCTTTCAAGCTCATGCTGGAGCCCATTCTCACTCTATGTGCTTAGTACACAGAAAAGTTCCCTGAGGATGAGCTCCAGCATGAGTGCAAAAGAAGACAAAACCTGTGGTCCCAGTGACCGACCCAGATTGGATCCTGCAGAAAATGTAATTTTTATTCTAGTTCTGCATAATTTTTGAAGAGCTCTGGCATGCTACTCGAACTGATATTTGGCTTTTTAAAAACTATGTAATACTAAACTATATTAGCCATACAAAGTTATTATAGTATATTTCTTGAATATACTTTTTAATGTTGTCCTACAAACTAGTCAAAAACTTTAGAAACTTAGACCTATTATCTCAAAAAGGGTCTTTTTCCATGTTAGGACAGGGGTGTCAAACCCGCGGCCTGCCCAGTTTAGTGAAGGGGGGAAAAGTCCCGATACGTCACATGATGCCGCCATGACGACATGAGTTTGACACCCGTTAGGAAATCTAAAAGGTCTAATTATTAATCCTTGCAATAGCATTTTACTAGAAATAACAACTCTTTAGATGTAGAGTCTAAAGTTGGTTCACATTAGAGTAATTCACAACTGTTTACTTCTTATTCAATTACTTACATTGCTCTGGCCACAAGTCTGGCGATGCCCTGTCCAACTTTTCAAAACTCAGCAATGAGGCTTCCAAGTCTGAACCTAGAATTATATTAATGTACATATGTGTAAGCCAAAATAAATAAATAGTAGCACCATTTTAGACTAATGTGTAACACTTACTTGTGAACAAAAGGTGTGGCTTGGAACATGAACAAGAAACAATTTGCCTCTCAAACTACAATATTTTAGTGATGCTACATTGATAATGTTATGCTCCTATACATACTTCTTTGGAAGTAAGGCTAAACTGAACTATTCTGGGTATAGTTATAAGAAGAGCTCAGATTTTGCAACTGGCATATCATCATAAGAAGTATGTGTTTTATCCAAATTAGATTATTTATTCAGTGGTTCTTAAATTGTTTAACACAATTACTCTTTTCCTGGCCTCAAATAATGTCATTATTTCCCCCCCCCCAAAACAAACCGTTGTTTTATACATGTATCTCAACAGCAGCAGTCCTAAACTGAACCCTGACTCACAAACAAACAATTGCAGATTGCTCCATAACATCCAGGATATGTCAATATCATCCCTTTGTGGGAAGTCCCCCCAATTTAAGAACCATTAGCTTAAGTCCTTTCTCACTCCTGATCCACTCATCTTTGAATTTGCAGAATAATACACCAGCATTGCCAATTCCTAAGCTCTCTCACTACCCTTGTTCCTAGTTACTGCAGTCATCTTCCCTCCAAGATGATAGATGACAAAACCTCTTAACAAATTTTGCCCCCCCACCCCAAAGCTATCCTTGGATAATGTCAGAATAAAGAGGAACCACTGGTACAATATAGACAACTTAAACCTGCCTTTTTAATCAGCTGAAGATAAAAGGAAAGCAACATCATGGGACAGAAAAATGGAAGAGCATGTTTATACCAAAGTTACGTGTCACCATGAAGAAAGGTGTAATGTGCCAAATTTCTGCTAGTGGGGTCCAGAAAAAGAGCCTTTTCTGCTGCCCTGTGGAATATTTTCCCACTTGAGGCAAGGTCCACCCTTACATTCCTGGCCTTCCAGAAGAGCCTGACGAGCTCTGCTGTTTGGTTTGGGACTCTTGACAGGGACTTGTTACATTGTGGTGGCTGACTGGGTGGAGAAGATCCCCAGCCCCAGGCCACTCATCAACTTGGTTTTTAGTTTTTTTTTATTTACTTCTTCTAATTCTAATTCTATAATACTTTTTTTTCTTTTTATCACATCGTATGTATTGGTGAAATGGGCAGCATTTAAATTTAATAAATGCTTACTATGCCTAGCAGCCATTTCATAGATTCCAAGCAAAAAGGATCCCACCCCAGCTTTTTTTATTAAGAAACAGAAAAGTTTCTACAATATAAAGTTCACTACAATACAGTACAGCTCATCTGCCCAAAGCTGAACTACAACAATCTTCCCTGGCCTGTTAAACTTCCAGCATACAAGGACTGCATTGGGAGGGCAAGTTGGAAAAGTCCGATTTACTCCAGAGTGATGACATTCACCTCCCCCCCACTCAAGCATGTATTTTATGACAGATACAAGTGTAAACTTAATTATAAATACATGAAAAGAATACGAGTAAAAGAAAACATTAGGACAAGGACGGTAGGCATGCTGGTGCCACTTAGTGACACAAAACACAAGCCAACCATCATTCCTCAGGTAATTGTACGGATTACTAAGAACAGGGTCAGACCAACTAGAGATCTACTTTAAAACCCTAATAATCATTTTAACGACGATTTGTTTCCAACGATGAGCTTGCGTCAAACAAGATTCTAAGCGTTTTCGTTCAGAAGCGAAGTCCAATGATCCCAAAAAGAGCGTTCCCACCTGCGTTTAAGGGGCTTCTGGCTAATTAGAAACCCAGTCTGGTTTCGTTGGTTAAGGCATCAGCAAGAAACCGGCAGACCCTGAGTTCTAGTCCCGCCTTAGGCACAAAGCCAGCTGGGTGATCTTGTGCCAGTCACTCTCAGCCGTAGGAAGGAGGCAATGGCAAACCCCTTTTGCAAAACCTTGCCTGGCCAGGCAGTCTCGGAGAATCGGACACCACTGAACGGGGGAGGGAGAGGAGAAAGTGGCTAATTATCCCAGTAATCAATACACGCCTAGTAAAAAAATAGGTTAACCGCGAGCATAAGAAGTAGGAAGACAGAATACTACAAACCTCTCCGTCTTCCTCAACGTCTCTTACCTTCCGTAGAGACCGCCATCTTAGCCCATCACATGACAGCCCAATCTCCACCTCCCCACCCCCCACCCCTTTCACGCGGGAGCCTGTACTCTTGACAGCTCTTTTTCGAACGAGGCAGGAACGCTCCGCCTCCTTTTCCCCGCCCACTCACGTTCTGCCCCTTTCCCCCCCAAAAAACTCCAGAGGTCGTAACTAGGGAAAAGAAAAACTGGCCAGTCAAGTTCCGCCTGGAGGGGGCGTTTGCAGCTAAGCAGCCAATGGTATCCTCCCCTTGACGGGGACGGGGCAAGCTGGGCCCTTTCAATGTTCTATTGGTTAGAGAGAGCGCCCCGGAGGGGCGGGATGCGGTTCGGGTTGGCCAAAGACAAAAGGTGTGGGCGGCGCCCAGCTGTTGAGCTTGGAGTGGGCAGGGCGCTCGTCGGCGGGTGGTCGTTGGAAGAATGGCGGTTGTGGCTGCAGTTCGGGGGTCGCAGGGAGGGCGGCGCTTCTGGCTCGAGGTGAGGTCGCGCGAAAGAGACGAAGTGGCTCCAAAGAGAGAGGTGGGGGGGGCGGCGCGTCTGGTCTTGCACGTGCGGACTTCAGTGCTGCCGTTGGCGTGGCGGGGAGATCTTTCCCGTCCGTGGCATATTTGCGCGCCGCTCTTAACCCCTCGCCGTTGAGCCGACTTCTGCACCCGAGGGCGGGTGTGTGTGGGGGTGAGAGCGTTCCCTAAAAGCCGGTGGACCTTCCGAAGATAGGGAGCCTTAACATCTGGGTCGCCCTCGATGAGATCACGCAGCTGGCAAGACCAGGTTAGGATTTTGTAAACTTCAGATCGACGGTGAGTTCGCTTTTAAGGGCTCTCTCTCTCTCCCTCTCGAAGAAAGAAAACGGATAGGATCCCGAGATCTGCGCGAAATTCTGTCCTGCGTCTGCTTGAGAACGGCCTTTTTTCAGATCAAGCCAAGGTCCATTAAGGCAGAGGTCTCCAACCTTGGCAGCCTTAAGCCTGGAGGACTCCAACTCCCAGAATTCCCCAGTCAGCTTTGCTCCCAGAATTTCCCCAGCCAGAATTCTGGGAGTTGAAGTCCTCCAGGCTTAAAGTTGCCACGGTTGGAGACCCCTGCATTAAGGTTTCCTTGCGTGCCAGACGTTGATTGCCCTGGAAACTCCAGCATTTGAAAATGAAAAGCTGCCTGCCCTTTAGTTAGTGTTCTGCCTTTTTCTTAAAAGCTGTTCTGCATATAGGATAATCTTGTCAACTTTAAATTGTGGGTATATCAGGTTGGGAGCTGCACTTGTGGGGGCACTGATGAAGATTGGGCTCCAAAGGCGGAGGGAAGGGGGTGTCTTGTGAGGTGCAGGAAGGTACAGAGACCCCTCTCCTGCCTCATTTGCAGATTTGCAAGAGGGAACTTGCAAAGGTTTTGAGATAATAAGATTTCTAAATCTTAGGAATGTGACAGTGAGGTAAAAGTTGCTAAATAAACTTCCCCAAAATTTTTCCCATTATGTTTCTATTAGAGAGGACATTGTGACATTTCTCCATTCAATATAGTTTTCTGTATTAGGGTTTTTTTTGCTAGGAAATGTTAAGCGGTGAAGTAACATATGGACTATAGGCCTGTACTGTTAGGTCTTTTTTGAGTGATAATGTTCTATTAATTTATTGTGATACAGAGGTCAGATGCAATATGAAGCATTTAAAATATCGGGGTGGGATTGGTTTGAGTTCATGTATGCTGTTGCGGGAATAAAATGTAGGAAGATTGCCATATATGCCTTGGTAAAAAAGTTTTAAATCTAATTAGTCAATAAGTACTGGAAATTGTTTACTGCTGAATTTCCTACACAATTACAAGGAAGCATTACAGAATTCTTAAACGCATCTCCTTTTGATTTTCTTCAGTTAGAATGCCCTGTTCAAAAATATTTTTCATATTACATTCTGCAATGAGAAAAAGTAGTAAAGAGAAACAGCAATAGCTACTCAAGAGACGATATGAAACCTTCCAGTACTGATAGCTTCTAAATACCTACAACTGCCAAGCATTAGCACATGGATAATTCCTAAAGTGAACACACGGTATATAATCATTTAAAATATGAATGTACATGAACCCTATAAAAACTGACTACCAGCATCTGATAATTCCCAATAAAGATGAAACAAGTAATGTAATGCCTCCTGGTGGTTAATGTAAGGACAATATTTTATGACTGAACTTTCTGAGATTTAGTCTTGCCTCTATTGTATTGTCTTTCAAATTATATTGTAAATTTCACAGTTACCTTTTTGAAATAAGAGGCTATGTAAAACTTTAGTTAAACAGTTATCGGTGTGCCATTATTAATAGGAGCAACCTTATTTCAATATTTTATTTGTTTGTCTATGGGTTCTATTTACTTCCTGGTTCAATTAAGGCTACTAATACTAGAATATATTATTAACAGGATTATTGCTATGAACTTAAAATTTAGAAAATGAATGTGGTGTGCCTTCTCACTTCTGAATAAATTTAAGTTAGCTGGATTTTTTTTCTTGAAATGTAGGATAGATGTGCTTAGTTGGTTCTGTTTGCTTTTTGCCTTATAGATCTCTAGGAAGACAAATTTCAACTGGCATTCCTCATCATTTATTTCCTCCTCTTCAGTGGTAAGTTATTTTTGAAAGAAAACAAAGATTAACTTAAAATAGAGCAAACCATGATTTTGATATACTGTTTCCCCATTATGCATATTTTTCTCAGCTTGTAGGTGGAAATGAATAGCATTCTGGTCAACTTTAAAGTAAAGCAACAGTTAAGACTAGGGAAGCATCACTTTGTCTGGGACAATTTGGCCTTAGAGCAAAATATATTCTTCTCAACAGAAAGAAGAGGAGTAACTAGAGTGGGCTTAACTGCTTATTGTAATAAAAATGGCTTTTAACAGTCTTGCAGCTTGTACTATCAGGAATTTTTGATCCACTTACTTTGAGGTTCAATAATATTAATCCTAAATAAATTAGTCCTGTTTCTGTAAAAAAACAGAAAGAGCATGAAGAGCAAATGGGAACAAGTAGAATTAATATGAGTTTCATTAAGTGCAAAGAGCAATCTTATCTTGCTTTTATTACACTAGGATATGCATTAACCAGCATTTTGTATTCTACAGCCAACAACCAAATTGTTCATTGATGGCAAGTTTGTGGAGTCAAAAAGTAATGAATGGATTGAAATCTATAACCCTGTAAGTAGTATTGGTTTGTTTTTGAGACAGAAAAAAAATTACATTCTAAACTAATTTAAGTAATTTAAATAAATATGCTATAACAAGATTTTGAAATTAAGATAAAGTTTATGTATTCTTAATTTCCTAAAGAGGATGATGCAAGCCGCCTACAGGAAACTATATTGTGGAGAAATGGAATCCTTTGCATGAAGTTTCTCCCACCACATATTTTCCTGTAGACTGCTTGCTTGCTTCTATATCATCCTCTTTAGGAAATTAAGAATAAGTAAGCTTTTCCTTAATTTCAAGTTTTTGTTATAGCAAGGAGTAATATTTACATATTTCTAGAGAATTTATGGAAACTGGTTAAATTATAGTTCTAGGTAATGCACTTATTTGTTCCCTATGACTATCATTAAGTGTTGTACCTTATGATTTTTGACGAATGTATCTTTTCTTTTATGTACACACAGAGCATATGCACCAAGACAAATTCCTTATGTGTCCAATCACACTTGGCCAATAAATAATTCTATTCTATTCTATTCTATTCTATTCTATTCTATTCTATTCTATTCTATTCTTTTTAATGCAACTTATTAACATGAAGTTGATTTTGTATAAACCAGTGGTGGGATTCAAGTAATTTAACAACTGGTTCTCTGCCCTAATGATTTCTTCCAACAACCAGTTTGCCAAACTGTTCAGAAAGTTAACAACCAGTTCTCCCGAAGTGATGCGAACTGGCTGAATCCCACCACTGGTATAAACCCATAAAAATACCACATGTTCTCATTGATGGGTCAGGAGAGGAAGCATTTACTCAAATCCAGTGTTGTATAAATGGAAATCCACTAATGCGATTGGACTTTCTTATCTCCCTTCCAAACATTTGTCTTAATCCATTCCAGAAGATCCTCCAAAAATGATCTTGGAGATGTTCAAACCAAATTTATTAATTAAACAATTAAACTGCCCCGATGGTTTCTGGTCTTTGACTGTAATAAACTTTGATTTGAAGCTGCCCCAATGGAGACTTTTTTAAAACCTAATTTCATAAAAAAAGGGGCATTTTTCATTGGGAGTTTCTTCCCAACAGGGCCTCTAAGGACTTTTTAAAAATGTTTTCAAGGTGACTTCAACTGCTGGTGATTTTTATGGCTATTTCCATGTAGTTTTCTTGACAAAGTACATAAATGTTGCCTACTTCCAGAATATTTAATTATTCTGCAGTTAAGGCCTCTTGGAAACTTTTTAAAGGTTGATTCCAGACAGAAGTAGCAAAACACTCTTATTTCTAATCACTTATTTGTGCCCTGGTTAAGGAAAAACTCTTATCTTCAGTCAGCAACTGCTTGGAGATAAGAATTTTTCTTTGTCTACAAGGAGAGGTGGGGTTGAGAAATACATCTACTGATTGGATATGGCCTGCTAGAAGATCCCCATTTCTGCTCTATATGGAGCAACATAAATATTCTTAATATTTTCTTAGAAAACGATATGATCAGCGTACCGGCTGCATAGTACAGTTTATAGTTTTTTTTATTACTACATTAAAAACAGCAATATTAATATTTACTTTGAACTGAAAATAGCACTGGGAACTCATCTCATAATAAATTCATGCTGTCTAAAGAACTCTTGAATGGCTACTGGGAGAATTTCAGTTGTTGTAATTATTTAATTCTATGGGAATGTCATTCTAAAAGGCTACCAATGAAGTTGTTGGTCGAGTCCCAAAAGCCACACAGAGTGAGATGGAAGCAGCAGTGGCTTCATGCAAAAAGGCTTTGCCGAGCTGGTCTGAGGTATCTGTTCTGAGTCGACAGCAAATCTTTCTGCGGTACCAGCAGCTTATCAAGGATAATCTGGTGAGGAACTGCTATGCCCTTGATGTACTGATTTTTCTCAAGAGCCAATGCAAAGAGGAGCAAAATTAAAGAATGTTCACCTATTCATGTATAATACAAATAGACAAAAATTATATAAGCATAATAGGTTGTCTGTTATATTTGTTCTTTCTTTTGCCAACATATCAAGCTTTGGACTTTGGGTTTTATATATAAAAAAAAAAGGTAATTAAAAAGTAGCAGGTGGGAAGATGGGCATTGTAACTCATCTCCTGTTTTCTGGGTAAATTAGTCTATTGCAGAACAATGTGTTTTTCCAGAAATTTGCTGAATTGTTGTGGTTGGTTATTTCCCCTCATTTGTTGATTCTCTTCTTATCTACAGAAAGAAATTTCAAAACTGATCACCATGGAGCAAGGAAAGACTTTGGCTGATGCAGAGGGAGATGTCTTCCGGGGCCTCCGTAAGCTGCTTATGTCTGCCTCTTGCTATGCATGGAAAATAGCTTTTTTGGGCTATAAGAAGATGAGAATGTTTCCAAACAATTTAACTCTCAGGATCTCAGGAGCATAGCTCCTATTCTATCTATCCCAGTATGCATATTATACTGGTATCAGAGAATCATAGAGTTGGGAGGATCCATGAAAATCCTTTTGTCCAAATATCTCAGTTGAGACTTCAATTAGGACATCCTTACTAGATTATGAGCAGCTTCTAAAGTAATCTGTTTGGATAGTTCGTTTTCTTCCTTTTCCTTCTTACTTATGTATTTCTTACCCGTATTTTTTGGACTATAAGATACTCCGAAGTATAAAATGCACCTAGTTTTTGGGGAGGAAAAAAAGAAAAAAAAAATCTGCCTCTGCCTCCCAGCAATTTGCCTCCTTACAGCAAACAGCTTGGTCAGCTTCAGCACAGCCTGATTTTGGCCTCCACGCATCCCGTTTTCGGCCTCTGTGCATCCCATTTTTGACCCGTTCCAGATGGCAGGGATTGCCGCCGCCACTACCTATCCCTGCCACCTAGAATGGGCTGAAAATGGGACATGTGGAGGCCAAAAATGAGGCGCGTGGAGGTAAAAAATGGAGTGGGTGGAGGCCGAAAATGGGGTGTGCGGAAGCGGCGATAAGTGGCAGCGGCGATGGGCGGCGGTGATCCCCATAGCCTGGAACAGCTGATAGGAGGTATTCCAATCAGCTGCTCATGCTAAATCAGGCTGTACTGAAGCCAACCACATTGTTTGCTGCAAGGAGGCAAATTGCTGGGAGGCCGAAGGGTGGGGACTGGCGGGTGGGCGGGGCTTCAGCAGCATTTGCTTTATATGACACACAGACATTTCCACCCACTTTTTTGGAGGCGGAAGTGCATCTTATAAAAATACGGTATATATCTCCTGCCTTTCTTTAAAGTACTTCTTTTGGTTCATAGCACTTGGCATAATTTGGTGGTTTCCAGCTGCAAGTTCCTCAAATCTAAAATGCTTTCAGCTGACCTGGATATGACATTCCTACATTGTTGAATTTTGTATATCTCTAATCATATAGCCTCTTAATGCGATACTGCAGAATTAGCTATGATTGTTGAGTTTTGAATTATATTTTGGTATAACTAGGTCCTCTTCTTACTGATGTATCAGTGCTGCATACTTTGGCACAAAATCCAATTCTTTCTACAAGGCTTAGGAATAATCGTGTATATTTATATGTACATGTGACCTCTAATTTGGATTGTAAGTGCGTTATTGGCACAAAATCAGATTTATGACACCAAAACTCACATGGATGTTGAGGAAATACCTGTGAATTCAGGAAGCCAGAGAGATAGAACACCAAAAAAACGATTGAAAATAAAGGAATAAGCAAGAGGCGGAGATGACTCTGCTGAAGAGTACTTCTTGATTGGAAGGCAATGGTTGTCTGGGAAAAATAACCCTTTCTAAAAAGAACTTTTTATATTTTCTTTATTTTCCTTTCAAGTTGTCTCTTCCCTTTTCATAAAAGTTTTGTCCACTGCTGCCATTTTCCCTTTCTTTTCTGACAGGACTCCATCTTGGTGTTTCCCCCCTTTTGGTTGGAAGGAAAGGGAATATATTGTGTGATTCTGGGTGTAAGATTGGACTGTATGTATGAAAGAATAACTAGTACAAGCAGAAGGGTGATCTGTAAATTTCTAAATGCAATACACTGTTTTACAGGCAAATAATTTCAGTCAATAGATTTTTATTTTATTTTATTATTTTATTTTATTATTTTATTTTATTTTATTATATTTTATTTTATTTTATTTTATTATTTTATTTTATTTTATTTTATTTTATTATTTTATTTTATTATTTTATTATTTTATTTTATTTTATTTTATTTTATTTTTTATTTTATTTTATTTTATTTTATTTTATTTTATTTTATTTTATTTTATTTCTATACCATCCTTCTCCTGCAGGACTCAGGGCAGTGTACAGATGAGATAAAACATAGCATATAAAATTTTAAAAACAGTTTAAAAAACAATTAAATAATTTTGGCCGAAAATTTAAAACAACCCAATTAAAACCGAATTCAATTAAAACTGAGAGGATGGGATCCAGCCAGCCCACCTAGATGGAATCAGTGTGTTTTCAGGGCCCGACAAAAAGTCCGGAGGTCTGATATCATGCGTATCTTAGGGGGCAGGTCATTCCAGAGGGCAGGTGCTGCCACAGAGAAGGCTCTCTCCCTGGGGGTCGCCAGCCGGCACTGTCTGGCCGACGGCACCCTGAGGAGGCCCTCTCTCTGCGAGTGAACCGGTCGGTGGGAGGCTATTGGCAGCAGAAGGCGGTCTCGCAAATACCCCAGCCCTAAGCCATGGAGCGCTTTAAAGGTGGTCACCAACACCTTGAAGCGCACCCGGAAGACCACAGGAAGCCAGTGCAGCTCGCGCAGGAGAGGTGTCATGTGAGCGCCCCATCGCTCCCATAATCCCCCGCGCGGCCGCATTCTGGACTAACTGCAGCCTCCGGGTGCACCCCAAGGGCAGCCCCATGTAGAGAGCATTGAGTAGTCCAGCTGGCTATATCGGGACGCCGGAAGCCACAGCCACTCGGTCTTGGAAGGGTTGAGTCGGAGCCCGTTTCTCCCCATCCAGGCCCGCACGGCCTCCAGGCACTGGGACATCACTTCAAGGGCATCGTTGGGGTGGCCTGTGGTGGAGATGTACAGCTGAGTGTCGTCAGCGTACTGATGGAACTCCACCGCAAAGCCACGGATAATCTCACCCAGCGGCTTTACATAAATGTTGAACAGAAGGGGCGAGAGGATCGACCCTTGTGGCACCCCACAAGCAAGGCGCCTCGGGGTTGACCGCTGCCCCCCTGTCAACACAGATTGCGACCGGTCAGAGGTAGGAGGAGAACCACCGCAGAATGGTGCCCCCCACCCCCAGCCCCTTCAACCGGTGCAACATGATACCATGGTCGATGGTATCAAAAGCCACTGAGAGATCTAACAGGACCAGGATAGAGGAACAACCCCTGTCCCGAGCCCTCCAGAGATCATCCACCAACGCGACCAATGCCGTTTCCGTGCTGCGCCCAGGCTGGAAGCCGGACTGGAGTGGGTCTAGATAGACAGCTTCATCCAGGTACTGGGGGAGCTGCCGCACCACCACACTCTCAACAACGTTCGCAATGAAGCGAAGGTTGGAGACTGGACGATAGTTTGCCAAAACAGCCAGATCCAGAGAGGGCTGCTTGAGGAGGGGCCTCACCACCGCTTCTTTCAAAGCGGCCGGCAGGACCCCCTCACTCAGAGAAGTGTTAACAATCCTCTGGAGCCAGCCTCATGTAACCTCCTGGGAAGCCAGTACCAACCAGGAGGGGCATGGGTCCAATAAACATGTCGCTTTCAGCCGTCCCAGGATCCTGTCCATGTCCTCGGGAGCCACAGGATCAAACTCCTCCCAGATAACGCTCTTAAGACCTGCCTCAGTCATCCCGTCCAGACTTACCCAGTCAGAGGCCAAGCCTTCCCAAATCTGAGCGATCTTGTCATACAGATACTGCACAAAATCCTCAGCTCGACCCTGCAAGGGATCATCCCGCGCTTCCAGATGGAGGAGGGAGCGGGTCACCTTAAACAGGGCGGCTGGGCGATTATCTGATGACGCGATAAGAGCGGCAAAATAGCTAGATTTCGCCGCTTTTATCGCCACTAGGTAGGTCTTAATATGAGTCCTCACCAGTGTTTGGTCGGATTCAGAGCGGCTGGTCCTCCAACTACTCTCCAGGCGTCTTTTCCAGCGCTTCATCTCCCTCAGCTTCTCGGAGAACCAAGGAGCTAGGTGAGTTCGGTGCCGGGTCAGAGGCCGCAAAGGCACGATGCGGTCCAAAGCCCCGGCGGCCGCACTATCCCAGGCGGCCACCAGGTCTTCAGCCGAGTCATGAGCCAGAGTCTCAGGAAATGGCCCAAGATCCATCTAGAACCTATCAGGATCCATCAGGCGCCTGGGGCGGAACCACCTGGTCAGTCCCGCCTCCCTGCAGCGGGGTGCAGCGGTTAGAAAGTCCAGTCGAAGGAGCGAGTGGTCAGACCATGACAAGGGTTTGATGACTATATCCCCTGTATCAAGGCCACTCGACCACTGACCAGAGACAAAAACTGTCCACCCGTGTGAGTAGGGTCATGAATTAACTGAGTAAGGTCCATGGCTGTCATGGAAGCCATGAACTCTCGAGCCACCTCAGGTGTTTCACCGATAGATGGCAGGTTGAAATCCCCCATGACTAAAAGTCTGGGGGTATCAACCACCACCTCGGCTATGACGTTGAGCAGCTCGGGCAGGGCCGTTGCCATGTGGCAGGGAGCCAGGTACGTGATCAACAAGCCCATCTGTACTCCATGGCCCCACTTCACAAAAAGGGACTCACATCCGGCTATCTGTGGAACAGTGGTCTCCCTCGGATCAAGACCTTCCTTTATAATAACCGCCGCCCCTGCCCTGAGCTCTCGGCTGATGGAATGCACGGAAGCCTGATGGGCACATATCTACGAGGGGAACTCCCCCCTCCTGGCCCAACCAGGTCTCCGTGATACCTGCCAGGTCCACTCCCCCCTCCTGAATAAGATCACAAATGTTAACTCATTATTTTTTGTCTGGCAGATATATGCATATATCTATACTATGAATGCACACTATCAGTGACTCTTAGATACATTTAGTGGGGAGAGGGAAGAGGAAAATCTACAGGATTGATTTCAGATGGAGTTGGCAACCCTAGATTGACCACATTGGGAAGATGGACATTATCAAAGATTTCTTTGTGTTTTTTTCTATCTGTTTTTCTTATGGTTATACAGATAGTCCTCAACTGATGACCACAATTTAGTCCAAGATTTCTGTTGCTAAATAAAACAGTTGTTAAGTGAATTTTGTCCCATTTTAAGACTTTTCTTGCCACAATTAAGTGAATCACTGCAGTTGTTAAATTAGTAATATGGTTGTTAAGTGAATCTGTCTTCCCCCATTGACTGTTTGTCAGACATTTGCAAAAGATAATCACAGGACCCCAGGACTGTAACCATCATAAATATAAGCCAGTTACCAAACGACTGAATTTTGATTGCGTGATCATGGGGATGCTGCAATGGTCATAAGTGCAAAAAACGGTCATGTCCCTTTTTTCAGTGCCATTGTAATTTCAAATGGTCACTAAATGAACTGTTGTAAGTCGAGGGCTTCCTGTAGTGGCATTTAAAACTTAAATGGTTTGAGGAAAGAATTTGGAAGCTAAAGAACAGGAACTGAGGGAGATATTTTTCTGTTTGTTTTTATTGCAGAGGTTGTTGAACATGCATGTAGTGTGACATCGCTTATGTTGGGAGAAACCCTTCCCTCCATTACTAAAGACATGGACACTTGCACCTATCGCTTGCCTCTGGGTGTGTGCGCAGGCATTGCACCTTTTAATTTCCCAGCTATGATTCCTCTTTGGATGTTTCCTATGGCCATGGTGTGTGGAAACACCTTCTTGATGAAGCCCTCGGAGCGTGTTCCAGGAGCCCTTATGTTTCTTGCCCAGCTGTTGCAGGATGCTGGTGCACCTGATGGAACACTAAACATTATCCATGGACAACATGCAGGTAATAGCAGCGGAGGTTTTGAAAGGCCTCCCCCCCCTTCAGTGTATAGATGGTATGGAATATATAAGTCATACAAAGGGAAAAATAGTCAAGTTACATGCTTGTATTCCTAGTTTATTAATTCAGAATGAGGAATTAAGCAATTCTTCCATCACTTTCTTTGCAGCCAAAGTGTCCTCTTCGTAAGTATGTTATCAAATGACTAGAGAAAGTCTACTTTCACTGCTTTGTGGTACCCCAGTTATGAAGTCTACTTTCCCTGCTTTAGGGTACTCCAGTTATCAAGTCTACTTGCACTGCTTTTGGGTACCCCAGTTATTAAGTGTGATTGTGTAGTTTATGACTAGATCAAATAATTGTGATTGTGCATTTGTGCTTTCATGTAGGGAAAAAGAAGAAGTAAATATGCCATTTGAGGAAACCCAAGTAGCTGAGCCCCCAAGAAACAGGGTTTTAATTATAAGGAAGTTAATTGAGAATGTTACAGTTTTAGTGTTTAGGGTAATTGGAGATATAAAAAATGAATAATTTTTAATTATTACTGTCATAAGCTGTACAGAAAAGTCTATTGTAATTATGAGTGTTTAATCTGTTGTAATTATCAGTGTTTCATTTTTCTTCTTTGTTTTTGTTTAAAGCTGTGAACTTTATTTGTGATCATCCCGATATTAAAGCCATCAGCTTTGTTGGATCTAATCAGGCTGGAGAATATATCTATGAAAGAGGTTCAAAACATGGCAAGAGAATCCAGGCCAATATGGTAAAACTCAGCATAAAAAAACATTCCATTTACCAAAATAATATGTATCAAACCATTTGAAATATTATTTTGTGCTTTGAACTGCAGGTCTGATTTGCAGTTTCATTGAAATGACAAAAATTAAAAGATTGCCATTTCAAATACAGCTAAACAAGTTATATCTATGTGTATTGAAAAAGGCACAATGGTTTGGTTTCTAATGCTAAGCTTCCCTTTATTTTGTATCATAGGTTTAAAAATCCTGACTTAAATGTTCTGTATGAATGGGGCTACTGAATAACTCTTTAGTCAAAATGTTTTTTATTTTTATTCTTATATCTTCTAGTTATTTTCAGTGCTGGATAGAGTATTACATTCCCTGTTCCAATACAAATTTTGGGGAGCTAAGGAATAATATAATATTTAAAATTTGCTTAAAATGTATACATTCTGCCTTCCCATCTTCAAGTCCTTACCTTCATTTGGAATTGGTTAGCCAGCATATTGTGCCACAAAAACCCGAGTAAATAAATGCAGGGCAGAAAACGAGACAAGCTAACTAGGAATTACAGGAATTAGGTGACACATCTTGAAGTTTGTTGTACATGATTAATTAAATTTTATGTAATTGAATTATGTTTCCCACATCAATCAAAACAATTCCTTTGTACAATTTTGCTAGAGAGTCACAATGTTGTGCATAAATGCATGGCATATGGGGCTTTTCCAACATTTCTTTACCATTGGCAGCTTTTCATCAAGCATGAGATTTGTATGTTTTACATACTTCAGCTGTTCTTAACTTCTTGCCTGCATATTTAACAGAAAGGCAGCAATTGGGTCCCTAAGATCTAGAGATGGCTATGAAATGTGTATTCAGTACATTTGAGGGCCTGTATGTTATATTGTAGGGAGCTAAGAATCATGGAGTAGTGATGCCGGATGCCAATAAGGAGAACACACTAAATCAACTGATTGGAGCAGCTTTTGGAGCTGCTGGCCAGCGGTGCATGGCATTATCTGCTGCAGTCTTGGTAGGGGAGTCTCGGAAATGGCTACCAGAACTGGTGGAAAAAGCAAAGAACTTGCGTGTTAATGCAGGTGTGTTTTTATAATCTGGTCTGTTATGGGCAGTTGCTTGCATGTAGAACAGCCTTCCTAATCTGATTCCCTTTAGATGAGCGGAATCATTTCCTGGAATTTTTATCATTTTACTATGTTTATTTAGGGTTTTCAAAATTGAAACACACCAAATTTGGAAGACATTCATTTGAGGAAAGCTGATCGATGTAGACAATCACAGCGTATCACAATGGGTCTTTATTTTATCCATTTATATCCTGCTTACCAGAACTATATTCCAAATTCACCAACGTAAAATGAAAAAAATAAAATAAAGTTGTACCAGGTTTGCAGATTAGGAGGACAGGCAGTTGATGGTTCTTGTTCCTCTAACTAATGGTACAATGTCTTTTTCCCTTGCTACCATAATTCAAGAGTAACTAGCAGTTGGAATCGAGGGTTCTTTCTGCCAGAGAACAAGTAAACAAGTTCCTTGCATCCCTTCTTCTGTAGCAGATGGATGGGAGCAGGACGATTCCGTTCTTGCCATGTTAGTCTTAACATAAACAACTTCAGTGACCCTTGTATTCTTGGCTTAAAGCAGGGGTCACTTTCAGCTATGCTGTTCCAGGGTTTTGTAGAATTGAGGGCATCTGATTCTGAAATATTCATTTTGAGCTCAAAATGACCGTTGCAAATGTTGTTGTAAGTTATTAGATAAATTTGTATTTTTCTTAAGGTGAGATAGTTAAATGTTGTTTAATAAGGTACCTACAAGAGCAACCAAAATGCTTATTGCAGTATTTTTTTTAAAAAAACATAGAGTGGCTTACTTGACTAGGCAAATACCTGGGTATTTAAAGGAAGGAGTACAGCAGTTAGCACAAAGAGTTTGAAACAAGTTGCTTAAATTAAATAACATGATGGCTATTGTACCTTAGATAAACAAAACTTATATTGAACAAATATTAAATAGCAATTATTAAAAGCAATACTAGATAGCAATCTTAAGTACAGCCTGATGACTTGTTACAGAATATTTTGTTTAACTATGCTTATTTTTTTGCAGTTTTAATGAAGCCTGATTTCAGGCTCTGAGCAATTTTTGTGTATTATAGGAGATCAGCCTGGAGCAGATCTGGGACCCCTGATCAGTCCACAGGCTAAGGAACGGGTCTGCCAATTGATTGACAGTGGAGCAAAGGAAGGGGCTAATGTTCTTCTTGATGGTCGAAAAATCAGAGTGAAAGGATTTGAAAATGGCAATTTTGTTGGACCTACTATTCTTGGTAAAGTCAAGGTGAGTTAGTGCATTGATCATTCTTACCAGTTTTAAAAATAAAGAAGGGAAATCTAAAATGATCCAAGAAATAATTCTTCCTCTCATATTAAAAGAATTTGTGTCTGATTATTTTTTGAAATGTTGAAAATATCCCGAAGCTTGCTTACTTTGCTATAAAGTGGATTCTGACTAGATTGTAAATGATCTGTCAGTGAAATGAGAAATATATGATTTTTGTATATCAAAAAGGGGAGAAACTTAAGAAATTATAAAGGTAGATATGTCCAGTGAATCCTACTTCTAAATAAAACATAAATAGGCATCATAAGTACTCAAAATTTAGATACTGAATTTTGGCTAGCATGCAGATATTTACAAAGAGTATCCAAGAATTAGATTGCAGGCATTGGCAGCTACATCCTGCCAAAAAACAATAAAAAAGAATAGAGGAGGAACTGCTAAGTTACAGGTAGTCCTCCACTCATAACCATTTGTTTAGTGACCAAAGTTATAGCAGCACTGAAAAAAGCAACTTGATCATTTTTCACACTTCGTGACAGTTGCAGCACCCTGTGGTCACATGATCAAAATTCAGATTCTTGGCAACTCATGTATTTATGACAGTTGGAGTGTCCCAGATTTTGTGTGATCTTCTGACACACAAAGTCAATGAGGAAGCCAGATTCACTTAACAACCAAATTACTAACTTAACAACTTCAGTGATTCTGAACTGTGGCAAGAAAGATTGTTAAAGGGGCACAAGTCACTTAACAACTGTCTTGCTTAGCGATGGAAATTTTGGGCTCAATTGTGGTTGTACATTTTGAGCACTACTTGTATCAGGACCCTATCTAAATAATAGTGTTTGAAGAAGTGTAGCAACATATTTTCAGTGATATTGTTACCTGACTGTAGGGGGCAGTGCTTATCTCCATTTCAAAGCCAAAAAGCCAGTGCCGTCCGAAGATGTCTCCATGGTCATGTGGCCGGCATGACTAAATGCCAAAGGCGCACGGAACACTGTTACCTTCCCACCAAAGGTGGTCCCTATTTTTCTACTTGCATTTTTTACGTGCTTTGAACTGCTAGCTTGGCAGAAGCTGGGACAAGTAACGGGACCTTACCCCATTATGCAGCACTAGGGATTTGAACCGCTGAACTGCCGACCTTTCAATCGACAAGCTCAGCGTCTTGAGCTTGTCGAGTGACACATTAGGTAACAGCATTCCTTTCTACTAACTTTCTGTGAAATTGAAAATACAAATGGTCCTCAATTTAGGACCATTCATTTAACAATGGCTTGAAGGGTCTCGGAAAAAGTGACTTGTGATCCAGCTTCAAAATTAAGACTGTTGTACCCTCTTCTCCATGGTCACATGATATAGCAATTTCAGTGCTTGGCAACCAGCTCACATTTATGGTACTTATAATATCTTGTGATTTGTGACCTTCCCAGGAGGCTTGCAACAAGCAAAGTTAATTAGGGAAGCTGGATTCACTTAATCGGTAATTTGTTAACAACTGCAGTAAAAATGATTGTTAAATAGGAGACAGTCCAAAAACAAAGCAAAAAATTAACTTATGCCTGCTGTATAATAAAATAAAAACAACAAATAAAATAAAAAATAAGAACAATAAAAATTGAGGATTCAAACTGAGGATGTTTTCTTGTAGATTGTATTCCTGGCAGGGTTAGTGAGATAGATATATTTATTTATTTATTTATTTATTCAATTACTATAACTGCCCATGTCATATTGTTACTCTGGGTGCCCTACAGTCAAAACATAAACATTATCCCCCCCAAAATAAAAAAAAAATCAAACAATACATTCATTAAAAACAAATAATTAAGAGTGGTACAATACAGTCACTGGGAAAGCAAAGACATTCAAGAACAGTACAACCATTTTATGTGCTCCACACCACTTTCTGATCAGGCCAGATGACAAAGCTAGTTCTTAAGTCCTTCCATAAGACCAGCAAACTCAGGGCCAGCCAAACCCCTGGGGAACGATATTCCATAGGGCAGGTGCAGCAGCAGATATAGACCTCCAGGTTCCACCAGATGACATTCTCTAGTGGACGGAACTCATAACAAGCCTCTTGTTGGATTTGATGGGAGGGGTAGAAATCAATGGAAAGAGGCAGTCTCTCAAATAACCCGGCCCCATGCTATATAGAGCTTTAGAGGTTATAACCAGCACCTTGAATTGGACCCATAAGCAAAGTTTTGTTTAGTGTTGAAGGTGCTGGCCTAGAAAGTAGACGACTATGAGTTCTAGTCCTACCTTAGGCATGAAAGCTGCTGGGTGACTTTGGTTCAGTCACTCTCTCAGCCCAACTCACCTCACGAGGTTATTGTGGGTGAAAAAGAGTATTACAGAATATCACATACTGTTTTGAATTACTTAGAAGTAATAAAGGTGGGATAAAAATCTAATAAAATAGATAGCCAATGTAGCTCGTGGAGCAGAGGTGTAATGTGTGCAGTTCTCGGTGCACATATAAATGCCCATCTAGTGGAATTTTGTACCAAATGAAGATTTATTATGAAGGTCAGAGTTCATAGGAGCTATCTGTTCGAAGATACACTTCTTTTCTGCAGAAGGTTAAGGATTATTGAAAGATGCAGACCATGAGTATTACATATTTATTTCTAATCAAACTAGAGCTAAAGATGATGTTAAAATGATGCAGGAGGAACAGCAAACAGGGAAAAGAACTGATTTCTTTCTTTTATATCTGTCCACTATGTCAGGGAACACTGATTCTGTAAGAGTTGCATGAAAATAAGCTTCGTTACATTTACAGAGTCTGGCTTCTAAGTAAGATTGCCTAAGATTGGATTGCAGGTCTTCTGTAGCAATCAGGGAATTAAGGTCAGCTAGTGCATTTTATATCTGAATTGGGATCTGGTTTCTACAGCTAAATTGCTGTCCTGGCCAGCCTACCATGCTAGGTCAAAACATTTGCAGGTTGTCACTTAGGGTATTTATGTGGGACCTGTAACAAAATTTTTGCACGTTTTTTCTTTCTTCTGATTTCTTAATAAGACTATTTTTGTTTGAGCTTCCAGGCATTAATCCTCCCCACACATATCATTTTATTCTACATTTTTCTTTTCCAATCGTTATTCTATATTCCATTATTGCTGAGCGTACTGATTTTTTTTTTTGTTTCAAGTTTTTTATTTTATTTTACATTATATCCATATCAATGTGTGAACAGTATGGCACCTGGGTGTCCTACATTTAAGTACAAATAAAAATAGTGATATTAATCATATTTGTTAATTCCTCAAGCTTATATAGTTCTAGTGTTAATACACATCTTTGTATTAAATTATAGACTTTCATTATTTAATTATTCAATATTCCAATGCCAATCACCATATTGTTTAAATATACATAATACCATCATTCAATTTCTAATCCTCCCTCTTATTATTACTTTTGTCTTATTGTATAAAAATGTGTATACTAATATCCCCCTCTCTCTTATTTCTTTCTCTCCCCTCTCTCCTATTTCTATCCACATTCTAACTTTTAATCATGCTATCATTATATCTAAAAACAAATCCTTTCTATCCATCATCTCTTGCCTGCTTTAAAGCTTTAATTGTTTGTTTTTTAACTTCCCTCCCATATTCCTATCTTGGATCTTTATCCCTATCTGCGTCTACGTCCTGACTATTCATTTTAAACATTTCTCCCATTCTGCTTCACCACCCCTACAGGGCAGCTTTGGCTCCTTTCAGAGCTCACCAATGGGGAGAACTCGCATGGAAGTGTAGAGACCCGCTCCTCATGTCCAATCTCGCTGCGAATTTTTAATTAGAATCATTTACCCCACTTAGGAATTTGCTGCTTAATTTTTTTTAAAAAATGCCTTAAATACCTTCCTCTTCTTTCTTAGATGATCCATGTTGTGTATAGTATTGGATAATCAGAGCCAGGAATGGTAGTTATTGCCTCAATGGTTATGTGAAAGACATGTGAACCATGCTTTGTGAACAGAAATTATTTTTTCTATAATATAATAAGATTTTTTGCATTATCTCTCTGAAGTGTATGCCGTTTCAAGTTTTTCTGTTTTGATAGCCTAATATGACCTGCTATAAGGAGGAAATATTTGGACCAGTACTAGTGGTTTTGGAAGCAAACAGTCTGGATGAAGCAATTGAAATAGTGAATAACAATCCTTATGGGAATGGAACAGCAATCTTCACCACTAATGGTGCCACTGCCCGGAAATACTCCCATTTAGTGGATGTTGGACAGGTAAATAAAAGAGGATCTTTTATATATAACTTGTTTTGAGTAGAAACTAGATAGATCAAAGCAATTTCCTAATGTGCGGATTTTTCAGATTACTTGTAAAGTAGTTTAGATGGAAAGTTGTGACATATATAGGCCTCACAGTTTTAATACTAGTGAATATTTAATTATAGTCATATAATTAGTCATAAAATGAGTCATTCATTTATTTGCTTCTTAGTCTTGCTGCATTACTTAAAAAATGAGTCCCGTCGATAATGCTGCACTGCAGACTACACCACTGTTTTTCTCTCTGTAGCTATTTGCCATTTATTGATGATGAACTGAGAACCAAATTAAATGAAATGTGAAATATATTTTTGCATTAAACAAGAGCATATTTTGAAGTGAAAAGCACTTGAGTTGACAGTACTTGCTAGAACTGAAACGACCTGGAGAGGGATTTAGACTACATTTTTTAGTGGGTACCTAATGCACCAGAGAACTGCTTAATTTCTGTTTTGAAAGACAGAGGTCCACCCTATTTAAAAATATATATAAAAGAGCCCATTGACACATGTTCTTTGGATTGTCAGAACTATGTCAGCATATATCACAAAATAGAAGAAAGGATATCTCCCATGATGCTATCAAAATTGACTTATCTTCCATCAAAATCAATGAGTGGAAAATGACTGAAAAGTGTTATTTTCTTGTCTGACAGCTTTTTGTCATAACAGTACAAGCTTGACAGGCAGGGAAGATCTTTGCAATTTTAAATTCTCTTAGATTGATTTGGCTTACTTAACTTTCCCAGTTTAAAAATTTAGAGTAATTTTCATTAGGATTGTAGCAAGGGAGAAAGGCTAAAATTCCCACCTTCTCTTGCTGTCATTCCAATAATTACATATCTATACAAAAGAAGTCATGTATTGCTTGATTATGAGGTTGCAAAACATCAAATTGCTCAAAAATTGTTCTAGGAGAGTTCTGCTACAGGAGAGTATGGATTTGAATGCAGGGCATCCTGATCATGGACTTGTTCTTTTTAGCATTCTGTGCTGATTGCTACCTGTGCTCTATTACAGTATTGTTAATATGGTTTTGATTTAGATTGGTGTGAATGTTCCTATTCCGGTGCCTTTGCCAATGTTCTCCTTCACTGGCTCTCGTGGATCTTTTAGGGGGGATACCAATTTCTATGGCAAACAGGTAACTGCTTTTTTAAAAAGATATTTATGTTATTGTGTCTGTGAAATGAAATGGGGGAGGAATGTGCTTAGTAGCCTATTGTATTTCGTAGTGAACTTCCAGGAGCTTGTCTCAAGTTTTTTTCTTAAGTTGCAGTGATTTTGCATCATAAACTGGCATAAATTCTATACCTTAGTATTCTGTTTCTTTCAGGGGGTGCAGTTCTATACACAGCTGAAGACAGTTATTTCCCAATGGAAAGAGGAAGATGCCACTGTTACCAAGCCTGCAGTAGTTATGCCAACCATGGGGAACTAAAGTCAGCTGACATACTTGTTGGAGTTGTTAAAACTATTTTTCATCTGGGATGGTGCAGGCTATTCTTGACTTGCCATTCTTGCCCTGGAAATATAGATATGTCTTCATGTCAGGATCATCCTTTCCAATCAGTTGAATAGAGCCTTTTAACACAAGATTTAATTTCTATCTATATATGGGATATCTTTTTTAAACCATACTCTATGGTGAGTAATCAGGCCAAAGCAGTATCTGCTTCATCTGGTTTTGTTCCTATTCATGTGATAGTGTTGAAAATGCAAGCTCTTCCTACATAATTAGTTTTTCTGGGAACCAGCTATTACAATAGTTGCTGTCACTCTGTTTATGAGTGGTACGTCCTATTGCTTTTAAGGCTTCTTTTTTGCAAGAAATCCTGCATATGCTGGAATGATTGTATCTCATACTAGGATGGGGAAAGTAAATTTTGGGAGAGGCAAATCCAGGAGAACATTACATAGAGCTGTTTTGAGAGCATGGCCTTGTGGAGAAGCAGTGAAGCCTTACTTTCACTACAATTTTAGTTCCCTTTAGCCATACAAAATCAACGAATTTTAATTTTATACATGAATGTGCCTACATACTATTTATGCACTGAATATATTTGGAACTAGATGTGTTTGAGCTTTGTTTTTAGTAGTGCTGAACAAATGGCGCAAGAAAGCAACATATTTTTATAGAGGCAATTTATTCTATCAATATTGCTTTAATCTGATTGTGATATTTTTCATTGGTCAAATATATGTGGAGAAAGGTAAATTCTAGCACTAGTTACAAAGACATTTGTGATTTTATATACTTGAGTATACATATGATTGATCTTGAGATCTCTGGGTTGTTCAGTAATATAGTATGTATTGATTAGCTATGAGTGATACACGTATGTCAAATTTAGAGATAAAGGATGATACCATGATGCTATTTTGGGGCTACATATGGTCTTCACATGGAGTTTTTTAAAAAATCAGAAGATATTTCCGTAAATTTGAAAATATGCTATTGCTTTCTATTGTCTAATCAAATTAGCTTTTGTACCTAACAGGTGCTTAAAAATTGATCACTATTACCTGAACAGGTTATTCATCCATATGCTTGAAAGTTGCATATTGATGTTAATCATGAATAAATACTACTAAATTCAGAAGTCTTTTGGTTTTCTTCAGACTAATAATCTAATAGTAGAAATACTTCTAATACTAAATCAAAGTGTTTACACTGGTTATTATTTGAACATGATAATAAATCATGCCTCCATTCAAGGACAACAATCAGTGGGTTTATAAATGTTTTGGATTAATCAGTGCTAATCATTGGCCATGCTGGTTGAAAATATCGAAAGCAAATAAAAGGCTTAGATGAAAATAAAAGTTGCCTTTAAGAAAAACCAAAATTGCCAGACTCTGCCACTGGTATTTGACCTCCAGATATTCATATGTGAGAGAAAGATTCAGTATATAAACCTGAAAAAAAATGTATATTTGTTCATCTGTATCTCATATTAGACAACCCCTGACCCACTGGCGAATTCTTTCAGAGATATTTCCTTACCAGAATCCTCATTACTTTTTCACAAAAATATGCTTTAAAAATACTTGTCAACATATTTTAATCAATTTTATTCAAGAATACACAACCCTTCAAATAACTTCTTAAACTAATGAATTAATGTGTAGGTGGCTACTTTTTGAGGAAAGCCATCAGTTATTTCTTTAAAGAAGCAATTATGTTATCTTTCAAGTTGACCTGATGTAAAGCCAAATCGTAACACACAAAAACAGTGATTTCATTGCTGCAACATGAGTAACCTTACACATCTGAGGTGATTAAATGTTGAAAAAAGAAAAATTATAATTTCAGTGAGTTTGTGATTAGCATCCATGCTAATCTATTCGGGTGGTATAAGCTGAATATCTGGGAGGGGTGATGATTTATGAGATGATTCAGATAATGGTGCCTGCTGAGTGATGAAAGCATAGACAGGAACTGCATCACCTCTGTAAAAGTTAAACAGGAAAAAAAATCAGGAGTGATATACTGTATATTTGGGTGTCCTCTGTATCTTAGCCTTAAAATTCCAAATGTCATCAAGAATATAGCTACATTTTTATTCTTGGAACAAAAATTTCTCAGGTTGTAACTCCATTTATTCAAGTTACCCCTTAGGACCGTGATGGCGAACCTATGGCACGTGTGCCAGAGGTGACACACAGCGCCCTCTCTGTGGGCACATGAGCCGTCGCCCCAGTTCAGCTCTGCCGCACATGTGTGCGTGCCTCCTGCCAGCCAGCTGGTCTTCGGGTCTCTGCTGTGCATGCACTGGGGGGGCACATGAACATGGAGGCATGTGGGGGAGCCGCATGCATATGCATTTTGGGGGTTCAGGCGCATGCATGCTCATTCGTGCACACACGTGCGCTTTGGGCACATGAAAAGATTAGCCATCCGGAAAAGGTTAGCCATCACTCCCTTAGGAGTTGCTCTTTAGGAAACTTGATTTTAGAGAATGAGTCATAATGAACTGATACCTAAACTCCAAAGTAATTATTACTGCTACACAAACATTACTGCAATACCAGAGAATAAAAAAACAAAAATGGGTAAAGACAATTTCAATTACTATACCTATTCAACATATTTAGTGCTAATGTTATTCAGTTATAGGGTTATTCAGGAATTTTTCCTCTTCACTAAAATTTAACATTTCTTTCTCATCATTAGAGCCTGCCAAAATAGCTCCTTTGTTCAACAAAAAAAGCAACTAGAGCCTAGAGATATTGTGCCCATTCTTAAGGCCAAGAAAATGTCCAGACCTTATTTATCTTCCCCTTTTATTTCCAGCCTTCCAAAATTAGATCCCACAACAACGTGGGATCAAATTTTCTGTGGGGAAGTAAAAGAGAGGATGAATTCAAAAGTGGGCCTCTTTAATTATAATTTAATGTAATTTAATAAATTGGGATAATAAATAAATTCTTATAGGAAAAACTATTGGATGGCAGCTAGAATATTGCCAGCTCCCCCATTGTCAGTTCCCCATATTCCTGCATCCAGAGTGAAAATATTAAGGAATGTTAAGAATTGCAGATGGTCTTCATCAGGAGTGGGTTTTACTTATCTTTACTACCGGTTCGCAATGGGATCGCGCAACGGGATCTGCGCATGTGCAGATCGCCGATGATGACATCCGGGGCAGTGGGCAGGGCCTCCTGCCAGTTTTACTACTGGTTATTGCGAACCGGTCCGAACCATGGGCAACCCACCACTGCTCTTCATGCTTTGTGTGCTTTCTCTATTTTGATTAGCAACACAAATGTACATTATCTTTAATAGATTATGTGTGTGCATCTATTACTATGGAGCCTCCAATACAAAGAAGAACTGTAGTGCTTCTATGCAGAGTAAAAGCAGGTTGTTTTAATACATACATCAGAATAGCCCTGCACTGATCCTTTCTCCCATACATCTATTAACAAATTGAATACTTCATACTTCTGCCAACATTTCTAGGGTCTATATTATGTTTTGTAGAAAGTATGTTAGTTATCTTGAAATTTGTATTAATCATCATCATAAATAATTACACACATTCAACAGCCAGATGTGCACAGAGGTCAGTCTCACTTATACAAGTACTATCTAAAGTAGTAATAAAATGTTTAAATTAGTTAGATAAAAGATTATGTTGGAAGAAAAAAATATGCACAAAACACACTGCCCTGAAAGTTATTACTTGCACATGTCCAACTCTGCAGAAAAACAATAAACCAGAATCAGACACAACAAAACCAAAAAACTCATCCCTTGGAAGCAATATTCATTCAGTATGTAAAGTATTAGAAAATTAATTAAAATAAATAGATGTAATCTCTTACTCAGATGCCTTTGTTTCTGCAAAATTAAAATTGCTTGGTGTTACTGGAACCAAAATTTGACTGTATTTCCTATGAAACAGAAATTACAGAATAAATGGTGAGTTAATGAGGCTTCAATTATTATTTTTTATTTGCATACTATAACCCTTGTTGTAAGAGTTGAATGAAATGAAAGTAAATAATATTGATGTGTTTTTTTCAGTTTCAAGATTTCGTTTGAAACTTTTATCACTGATTTGGTAAACAATAATCAAAGGTTTTATAATCTGCAAAGAAATGATGGAGTCAATATGATAAAAGTGTCGTCTCCTTTCCATCTCTCACAAAATAGCAAAAATGTCCCTGATCTCTACTAGAAGAGCTATGTTCATTCTAGATTGTAATGTGCCATGATCAATGTAAATAATAGTTGAAATTGTTATCTAATTATTCAATAGGTAGGTAATCTTCTGAATGAACCATTCCCAATTGTCTTTCATTACTTCATCCATTTATTGAGACTCTGATATAAATAATTTTCTGGGATTGACCCACTTTTGGTTAACATGACATGCAAATGGCATCAAGACAACAGTGATAAACAACCACTTCCAGTTAAAGGTTAAAGGCATGGATTAGGACCAGAGAAATCCATGTTCAAATGGAAGCTCAGTGGGTGGCTTCGGGCCAATCACTTCTCTTAGTCTAATTCATCTCACAACCTTCATATGGGGAAATAAAAGAATGAGTGTGCTATACTGCCTTAAGTGCCTGAAGAAATGGCAGAATTATAAACCTTATAATAAAAAAGTATTGAAATCTGAATCTTGTGTTTAGAGCTATATTTTCCCACCAGATTGGCTCTGCTTCATAGCGTGGAAACAAAGATAAAAATTAATTTATGGCAGGAAATACAAAACTTGCATTTTGAAAGTATTTAAAAGTTATTAGACAAAAAAGACATAAGTTTGTAATCTGCTATAAGTCTGCAAAAAGGCTCTGCCAGTTCTAATACTCTATAGGAGCATGGCCATAGCTTCAGTCCTCAACAAATCAGAATCCATCTCTGTTTAGAAATCCCCATTAAGTACAATACCTCAGGAAAGCATTTTTTAAGAACTCCTAAAACCACTTATTTCAAGAATTTGATGCCAATTTTTCAGATCTTTTTTGATATACAGGATATAATTTTAATCAATCACTAAACATTAATTGTTCATAAATAACCAAGACTCCTGGTGTTAATTCCATAGCAATTAACAAAGACAAGCCTTACACTCTCCATTCGTAACCCTGTCTCTCTTATTTTCTTCTTTCATTTTTGTTCATGTAATTACTACCGTAGTTGGGTTCATAGAGATGTTAAGATAAGATCAAAGAAACCATATACCGAATTAACTTGTTATACAGCTCCACCTACTCTTCTTTAGCAATTGTTTGTGACATAATAAATTAATGTTAAACAAACCATGGATTAATTCAAAATGTGCATCAATCACTCAATGATACTGATACCCTATAAAGCTCACTGGTAGTAAATATTAATTATAATAGGTTTTCTCTTTTACAACTTCTATAAGATCCACTAATTCAGAACTGTATATATAGGTTGCTATGATTCAAAATTATATCTATAACTCATAGTGTCTCCAATTTGAAACGTTGATTTCTAAATATACAAAGGACATCTGATTCACAAGCAGCCATGTATTTTTCTGATGCTTATTTTCTAGCTATTCACTAGAATAGCAGTGGATAAGAAATACACAGATGAAAATGTCTATAACAGTAGTCATATTTTAAACTAAATAGCCATTTTTTTGTGGTAGCAATTTTCCATATTTAAAATTTAGCATACATGTAATAAGCTAGGAAATAAACTACAATTTGGATGAATCCTTAAAATTTTACAACTCTAGATAATTTAATAAATAGGACTTTACCGGTGTCTTAAGCCATTCATTTTTGCAAACAGTAACCTCAATACTCTTTCCTTCTGCTCCCAGGTCAGTTCAGAAATGTCCACTTTCCCCTTCTGAATATTTGTCCTATACACACACAAAAGATGTCATGAATCACAGCTTATCAGTATAATCAAAGCAGTCACTAAAACTGCAACTAGTGCTTACAGTCTTCCTTCAGATTTCCTTTGCTTTACAGACCTGCAAAGGTCATAAATGTGAGAACAATATTTTTCACTGTTGTAACTACAAATTGCAATTGCTAAATGAGGACTATCGTATTCTTTTTGACACTATTAGTGATCCTAGAATGGTTATTTGATCACAAAGGT